GCCCAATTTTAATTTTGCTCACCCGAGTGATTCACTCGTACCTCGATTTCCTCTTCGCAAAATATTGCCATTAAAATCGCCTCTTAAATGTCAATAGCGCGATAGAAAAGGCAACAACAAAAAAAAAAAAAAAAAAGAGAGACAACATGTCAACAGAGAAACGGCATAGAGAAATAAAAACACCATGTAACAAAACGTTGAATGGAGATATATCCACCCACTGGCATAATCTGATTGGTGCACATAAATGCTGCTAATCATGTGAACATACTTTCTTTTTCTTATTTTTACGTTTTTTTTTGTTTTTTCTCCTTTTCTGTGCGATAAGACCATAAGTCCAAGTACACCAGGCTGAACGACCCCAATTTTTTTGCCAAGAGGGAATTCTCCTTCACTTGTAAGAAGAATGATCAAGGGAAAGAAGAAATCTATATGAGATGGCTGGTACGGTGTCACGAAAAAAAAAAAAAATTGACTCAATGAACGCATTTGCGTATGCATGAGAAAAACTACCCAGACAAACCTGCACAATTGATACACACACCAACGATGCTGGCATTTGGCTAATTATTCACGGAGTGTGCAAGATTTTTTGTATGAGAACGAAACTGTAGCTGTATTCTTGTCCACCTCGAATCATGCACATCCCCCTGCCCCTCCATCCCACACACGCACACACCTTTCCTTCTCTTCCAGTCCTTTAACAACGCGGAGGAATTCAAGGAAAAACTGCTGTCCAACTTTGTGCCAATCAAATTTGATATCGGTGCAGTGTACAACTACCCAGTTTATCAGAAGGATCAAAAGGGCGACATATTTCACCCCGTTCAAAAGGTAACAGCGTACGTGGACAATTCTTTTTTTTTTTTTTACTATTCGAGATCATCTCTATCCATTTAGCTCATTTTTCACACCCAAACATACACACACAAAATGCAGGAACTTATATTTGATATTGATATGAACGACTATGACGACATCAGAACTTGCTGTAACGATAAGAAGGTGTGCAAATTATGCTGGTAAGAAATGAGAAGAAAAAATAAAATAAAATAATCCCATTTTTCAGCAATTATATGTGTTAATCATTTGGCAATATTTTGTTACTAATTTGTTTCTTCTCCATTTTTTTTTACAACCCCTGGAAAAATGATCCCCTTAGGAAATTCTTAACTATAGCAATAGTACTTCTCGACACGGCATTGCGCGAAGATTTTGCGCTTCAAAACATTTTGTGGGTCTACTCAGGAAGAAGAGGAATACATTGTTGGGTATAATCCTTCTTCCCTTTCAATTTGCCTAAATCAACTTTGGCCTAGTCATCACCAGCTATACGCCTACAACATTCCATTTTAGCCCTTTTCACGTTTCACCAAGGGGCACTTTTTGTTGTCTACTTCCCCTTCTCTATTACATTCTTAAATTTTACATCGTTTTGTGCACGATCATACTTTGTGCTTCCCACACTGTTGATCCGTTTTTATTTTCCCGCCCTCTCTCCGCCAGGTCTGTGACGAATCTTGCCGCCACTTCACAACTGACGCCAGAGCTGCCCTCGCAGACTATTTGAATATCCTATCGGTATGTAAAAGGATTAAACAAAAACAAATTACAATTTTTTTTTTTTTTTTTTATTTACACATCCAAGGCAAATCACTTTCACAATATCATAGTGGTGGTGGGAGCAATTTTTGTGCATTTTATTTTTCCCCTCCATTGTCCAGGGTTCGGATACTAAGAAGAAGAAGGTTTCCATATGGGGCAAGGAAAAATATCCTATGATTGAGTACTGCAACGAATATGGGGACATATTTAATGCGACCCTGCGTCGGTCTTACTGCCGCTAGTGTTGGAGACGGATGGACAAAGGCTTCAGAATGTTTCTTTCTCCCGCGACAATGTATATATGCACTCATCTATATATATATATATGTATATATGTATTTTTTACCCAATCGGCGTTTTTCCCAGGAGAGCATTTGAAATATGCTACAAGTACTTCGACATCCTCATGGAGGAACAGGACTTCTTCAAGAAGGGGTCTCCCCACGTAAACAAGATAATTGATTACCTACCCTACAGTAAGAATTAAAAAGTGGTGACCCTTGCTTTTCATGGGTAGAATAAACTGCGACAGAAGAGAAAGGAGACAAAATTGGACTTCCTAGCAACAGTGTTATTAAGAGAACAGTTGTGCAGAAATATTCGGTCCCAATCAGTCTGTGCATTGCATTAATCTGTCTCTTCCCCTGCAGCGACGGCGAAAAACGTAGACCCTACGAAAAGCGCCAAAGTGAACGAATTCAAAGAGTTCATCGATAAGAACAATTTCAACTCGAAGGAACTTTTCGAAAAAGTATGAAAAAACGGATTTACATGAAAAGGTGGTACATTTCCCTGAACCTTTCTTAACCGGGAATGCCAAATGTTGCACTAGGACACCATCCCCCATACTCCACACATTTGTGTATTTTCGCGTACATGCAGACTTTTTTCACGTAGCTCACCCTTGTGACGTTGCAATTTTTTTTTTTTTTTTGTTCTTCCCTCCAGTTGAGTTCAATCTATGGGTTCCTAACGCCCGCCAAATATTTTAAGAAGAAAGATTCGAATGCGAATACAGTTATACCCTCATACATCAAAGAACTGGTTTTTCATTTCACGTACCCACGACTTGATATTAACGTCAGGTTAGTTCTGTTCACCCGCACTGGTCAAATGGGCTTATGAATTGACCTACTAGCAAATCGCTGCACTGTGGTACCGACGAAATATCGCCACTTTGCCCCTTCCCACCCCTGCAGCAAAGAAATAAACCATCTGCTCAAAAGCCCCTTTTGCATTCACAACGGCACAGGTAAGGGGGCGAATGGGACACTCGAAAAAGCCGTTTGGGGGACAAATTAAACGCCGCTCACCTTTTTTGTTTTTTTTTTTTTTGTGAGCGTGTACACTCTTTGGAGTAAAATACAATACACATTCGTACTGTCCCACAGGAAGAGTGTGCGTTCCACTGAATATAAAAAATATAGACAATTTCAATCCCCAGTTGGTACCCACACTAAGTAATTATACTCGCTTCCAGCAACATGCCATATGTGTGTTGTATGCTTATGCTGATACGCGTGCCGTTGGGTATATATGCACCTACCTAACAACATAAAAATATTCTTCCCCCCCATGCACACACTTGTGCGCATCCCTCTCGATAGAATTACTGCGGGAACAATATGATGACCCTCAAAATGCCCACGGTAAATCACCTAATGAAGATAATTTCGAAATGCAATACATGATCGAACAACTTAAGAGCATGATAACGAACTGACGCGAGAACAACGATAATTTCACTTTTTTTTTTTTTTTTTTTTTTTTTTTTTTTTTTTTTTAGTTGACCCTGAATACAGAACATCTCTGAAATTATACGTCGATTACTTTCGTCAGAATTTTTTGGAAAACATCTTGTTATCATGCGTGGAAAAAAGGAAAAGTAAAAAAGTTACCTGTGATTCTTGGCATGTCTTTTCGAGTGACCGTGTTTTTGTGTCCTAGTACTAAGCCACATTCTGTTCACTTCCATCCTTGTTCCTACGCACAATGGCAAACATTATTTTCCATTGTCCTCACATCAAATGATACACAAAGGTAACATTTCCATTATTATTCTTTTTTTTTTTTTTTTTCTTATCAAAGGAATATGTGAAGGCCCCAAGTATATCGACTATAGCAACTTATGATGAATCTAAGCATGTACCGTTTTCTCCACACAATTGAGAATTAGGTGCTAATGTTCCTTTATTTACATTTTTTCCTTTTTTCTTTATGAATTAAAAATGTCCTTGCTTTTAAGTGTGCATTTTTTTTTTTTTTTTTTTTTTAACCAGAATGTTTATTTTACTGTTTTCCATTTTAAGTGAAAACTTTTGCACACCAGCTTGTATATTAAAATGGTGGATTCTTTTAAGAGGCGAAATTTAGAACCTGGTGGAACCATTTTCTGCACAACGCCCTTATATGCAAAGATTTTATCATATTTCTTTTTTTCGACACTTTTCCGAAACATTTTTTCTGCGAATATTTTCCCGAAATTTAAGTGCCGCATTTTTTCAGGATTTTTAAATGTGTACAAATTAGCTATGTTCCTTTCCTTTGTCAAGAAATTATTTTTCTTCCTTTTCTGTGAGAATTACTGTGATAATTCTTTTTTTTTTCCCCTTCTTTTTTATTATTACCTCTCCCCTGTCTTTGTTTTTTTTCCCCTTGTTTCATTTATTATACAAAAATTTTATTCAGCTCAATGAAAAGGTTCCAATATAGGATTAAGTGCACTATATAAATTTATACAATTTCGCGATTGAACAAGGGAAAGGATGCGTTCGTACTTATATAGGTACACTGATATATTTATATATGGAGAATTTATTTTTTTCACATTTCCATGAGGTTTCCTCCTTTTTGATGACTTATGTTAAGTTTTCGCTATCTAATATTTCGCTATCTTTTTCTTTTTTTTCTTTACTTCAAATTAAAATTACAGAAATAATTCCCGCGTGGGTGTTATATATTCCTAATGTGTTTAGCCAAAATGTCTTGTCATTCAAAATTGGCTCTTGTTACACATTACCAGTTCGCACGGGAAATTTTTATCTGTACAGAGATGATATATGTACAAAACTGAACTATCCATATGGATTTTACATTCCCCCCGATATCTAGCAATTTCGGAGGAAATTAGCGACCTTTTACAGGGTCATTAGATGCTGGTGTATTGGGAAAATGTATGAGGATACGCCCAGATAAAATTCGTTCATCCGTTCGGTATGACACATACTACACTAATCAGCTAATTCAGCAGGCACGCATGTTTTAATAAAGTATATGAAAAAACTAAGGGAACCAATTTGAACTTTCAAACAGCTGCTAGCATTTCCAGGGTTAAAATTACACCTTAGAGTTCATTACAAAAAAAAAAAAAAAAAAAACTGCAAATAATCTGTTTTACTCTGTGTCTCAAACAGCAATTAGAATCAGCGAAAATCCGTTAGCGGTAATGTTCTGCACTTTGTTGGGAACAACAAAAAAAAAAATATAAAGCTCCTCAATTCACCATAATTCTTCACAGTTTCATGTTTAAAGCGATGGTAATTCATGGCATCTATGTAGAAATGTCATGCCGCCTGTGCTGATATCTCATTATAGCTCTGTAGGGACCCTATGCCACCCGCCGTAGAAATTGCATGTGGGTTGCACAGAGATCTCATTATAGCTCTGTAGGAACCCCAGCCGATCTGTCTGGAAATCCTATAATAGCTCTATAGGGACCCTATTCCACCCGCC